GCCCCTGCCTTTCTGCGCATGCCCCCCCCCCGCCCCTGCCCACACCCCGCAACTGTACCGCCTTGGTGGCCCGTGCCCATCACTGGGGCCTTTCAACTGGCCCCCTATTCATAAAGTTTGAGGACCCCTGGCCTAAGCCAACTGCAAAGCCAGTCAATTTGCTTCCTTCAAAGGATGTTGATTCACAATCAAAAGTGGCCTTGCATTGCTCCATACCGAGGCCCGAGGGGGCAATTGAAAGCACTTAAGGGCAAATTAGGAGGAGGCCCAGGGCAGGGGCACCTCCCAATTTATAGCTTCAGGAAGAGGAGTCCCTGGCAGTGCACTGCCCTGCACGCCACACACACACACACACACACACACACACACACACACACACACACACACCCACCCACCCACCCCCACCCTCCAGGGATTGCATCCTACATAATTCTGTGCCTTTCATGCAAAAATGATTTTGTATATAATGTCATTATTTTGTGTCATGTAACCCATCAAAAATCAGTTCAGGCAATCGTTTTTTTTAAATCCCTTTTTTGAGATGAAAATAGAGTACCTAATGCTATATGAAAGAACTGGCATATTCATTGAAATTCAGCTAACAAGAATTGAATTAGCGTATTTTAATATTTAATTCATCAGTTCAAATGACTGCCTGATCCCTGGTTCAGATTAAAATTCAGTTATAGGTTCCTAGAAAGAAACTATGACCGGCTAGGCCAACACCCAGCACTGAAACATCAAAATGTAAATTACATGGAAAGTTCTAGCTAGAGAAGCACCTTTCCAGAATGGCTTTCCTGCAGCTGTTGAGGGAAGACAGACACTGATGTGTACTGTCAGGTGAATGAGAAATATCTACAAAGGGCAGTTGTGAAAAGATTAGATAGGGTTTTGTTGAGTTTGTTAAAAAAATGAAGTGGAGAAGAAAGAATTAAAGAGAAGTTTAATGTACAGGTTGCACCACAGGTGTCAACTGTCAAAGAGGCATTTTATCTGAAGCCCCTTCAGATGTGGGGATTTTATTTATTTTCCCAACTCTCTTGTGGTCCTTCAGGGGTTCTTCAGGGGACACAAGATTGTTCATTCATGAGCTGCTTAGTTGTTGCAGCTGTAGACACTGTGAACTCGGAAATGATTGCTGCTGTGTTGGTAGAGCCTGCTTTTCTGCTTCTAGACACTTCTGTACATTACAATATAGGTAACACAGGCCACTCAAGATCTGATCCTGCCTTGGTGAAAACATCTAGGTTCCTACTGCTGCACCTGAACTCTTGGGCACGATTCTTGCACGTGTTCCATTACAGGGATCCCAAATTTCACTTGATGTATGATCAAAATACAGGCTTGTGTTCACCCTACCGGAAATGATGCGTCTCCTCTCCCAGAACCTCCACCTGGAAGATAGTAGTGGCACTGAATTTCTGACGGTTACTTGCACCATCTAGTGGACAGCGCTGCTGGTGCACCCTGTACGTTAGGCTGATGCAATAAACATACTGGGACACTTCCAGAAGGAAGCCTTACTGCTACTCATTAGAAGACCGTGTGCAACGGTTCCTGACAAATTGGAATGCGGTAATAAGAACAGATGGAAGGAGTGGTGGGAAAACATGGGTTGCAAATGAAGGCGGTCCACATGTGAGACCACCATAACACTCCGCAAATAAGTCAGGGCGAGTGCACATTAAAAACCTTGCCTGGAATTACCCTTCGATTCACTTCATTGGTGTCACTACTCTTAATTTTCAACATCTTGGGTAAACATAATTATAACTCCCTATTTTTTGGCTTCAGAGCCCTGCCGCTTGCCACTCACTGCTTGCCCGCATGCCTGAGAGAGGAAAGCTGCAAAGGCAGTGTTCAGCAGCAAAACTAAACTATGAGTTTGAGGAATACAAAAACATTTTTGGCTTCTGAACTTTGCTTCCCTTCTCCTCCCCTTCCCTAGAACAGGAGCAAGAAAGATCAGAAGTATTATGCTCCTGTTTGCAGCTAACTAGTAATTTGTTCACAGTGGTCAGCCTTTTTATAATTTAAGGAACTAAGCCAACCACAAACCATGATTATTTCCCTAAACTAGATAGCCAGTGGGGGATAGTCATTAAAAGTGCTGAACTGCAACTCTGGAGACCCGCGTTCTAGTTCCCACTTAGCTGTGGAGCTCACTGCTTTGAACTAGTCTGTGAACTATGGCGCTTTGAACTGTGGAGCCCAGCCTACCTCACAAGGTCGTTGCGCTAAGGATAAAATGGAAACAAACACCATGTGCATAAACTGGGTGGTTTCTTGCAAGTGGAACAAAGGTGGGATTAATAATACTAAACCTGGGGTAAATAACTTGTCTTCCAAATGGTTTAACTCGGAATCCCTCACTATTGATTATGGGGGGGGGGTCGAGGAAATTGGAGTTGCAGGCCAAAACGTCTGGAAGGCAACAAGTTGCCCGGCCCTGTCCGACTAGCGGTTAACATTAACTACACACTTGGTTCAGTCATAATGAATCACAGGTGATTGAAAATGGAAGCAGCTGTTTTCAATCTCTTCATTACAACTGTGCTAGCCAAGAGGGAGAGCAGGAGGAAATAAAAGGGCAACATGGAAACATTGCATGTTTCTGAAACTGTCATGGAGTGACCATGTTTTCTTTGGTTATGTGGGTATGTTTGTTTTAGACCCTCCCTCACCTCAACAGCATGATCTCCATGGGTCTTACTTGGGGAGGAGCAAGCTGTGTGCACAAAAACTCTCATTTACCTTTGCACAAGGACTTCATCTTACCAGAAAACATGGCCAGGAGAGAGAGAGAGTGTGTGTGTGTGTGTGTGTGCGTGCGCGCGCGCGCCAAGGTTGCATCTTCTCTAGGTTATGCAAGTTAAACCAATGTTGTTATATATTTTATGTACTGTTTTGCTCTGTGGCTACTTAGAGGGAAGGATCTGCACACAGCATGTTTGGCCACTGGGAAGAATTCCTGCTTCTTTGTTTTGCTGAGCAGTATCTGTAGTTGTTGTATTCCTGTTGGCTAGAACCCTGCTTCTCCATGCAACCCTTTGAAGAGCAGGTATTTTCAAGCCGCTGAATTTACACAGCACTGAACATCGCTGCTGCTTAAACTAAACAAGCCCTGGGCAGGAGGACACGTACCAGATCCTCAGAGGTGTTGTGACATTCCAGCAGGGCAGCAGAAACTACTGCGTGATGCTTGGGCCTCAGTCAATCTGTCCTCCAGCAATTTTATGGGTTGCCCACTTAGGGGCACCTCTGCAATGCAGGCAACTTCTGTGCACACACCTAGCGCAAAACCATTTTGGTGGTCTGACATTTGGCATGCTCCCTCCCCCCCAGAAGGGGAAAACATGTCTCATTTCAGTCAAAAGGCCAAAATATTACAGCCATTTGTTGATTACCAATAACCATCAACAGGAAGTCATGAGGTCCAAATTTCTAATATGAGGTTCTGTTCCCAAATCGTATAAAGTTGTTGATTCTGAACAATCAAAATGGGGTCTGTGTAGCCTCTTTTATTCATATACAATATTCAGGTTCAATTGCTTTAGTTAACCAGATAGGGTTAATGCTGTACCTATGCAGTACTGGATTCTTGTCCTCTGTGACATTACTGTGAAAGCACATTCTGTCTCTCTCTCACTCATATAACGCCCCCCCCCCCCCCCCTGCCGCCGGTTGCCCCAACCCTTCCTGTCAACCTTGGCAGCCCCTGCTCCTGCTCCTCCCTGCCCCCAGGTCACCCAGCCTCCTTGTGGTCTCCTCGAGTCACCCTCGCACTGTAGCCCTCCTCTGCCCGCCCTTGCTTCCTCCTCCTCCCCACTGCACCAAAACCCCTGTCCTACCTCAGCTCCCCCTTTTCCAAGCAGGGCCACCCTGTCCCTTCCTTCCCCCTCACTTATGAAAAGCTGGTGTGCAGGCCCTGGTGTGCATTTCCATGTTGAAAGACTATCTCGCGCCCCGCCACTACATTTTGGTTTTTCAAAGGTGGCATGTACTTCACAGGAAAGGCAAGAGGCACGTGCAGGTTGTGTGTCACCAGGCCCCTGTATAAACAAGGGGCCAACTAGGGAAGACTCTGATCCCAGTCCATAAAGCTCACTAGATGACCTTGGCAAAATTACCCCCATGTGCTCCAGAGAGGAGGCAGGTTGAACGTTCGCTCACCAGCAGGGTGGACGAAATGTGTGAAACAACTTGTGAGCCCCTAGAAGTGCCCGCATGGAGTGCCCAGCAGGTGGCGAGCCGGCTCTTTCCTTGGCATCTGCAACTGAATGATACCAAAACAAAGAGGAAGTGCTGCTGTTGCCACACAATCCATCAGTATGCTTGGCTGAGTAAGATACAAATTGACATGCTCAAAAATAGATTCTGGGAACCTGTTCCCATTAATAGTGAATCATACATCCCTCAGGCTTAGCATTGTTAATGCACCTGCTGGCCACTCGCATACATGCAAAAACAAGATCACTGCATTTACATTCATCAGGTTCTTCACCGCCAGATTGTGTAGTTTCTTCTTGCACTGTTCAGAAAGACAAGGGTTCTCCAGTTCTCAGGGCCACAGGAAGCTGAACTGAGTGCATCTAGTGGCCTCTCTTAACTGGTGAACCTCTCCCACAGGTGAGCTCTACCTCTCTCTCCCCCACCCCCACCCCCGACAGAAAGGCACAAAAAGGACAGCAATGGCTGCCTCGTAAGACTCAGGCAAACCCTCTTGGGTAGGAGTTCAGTAGCGCAGAGATACAGTCCCAAAGGCTCTGAGATGCACTGGATTCATGTTCCTGAGCCCTCCAAAACCCTTAGTTTAAGAGCAACCTGATGGAACCCCGGAAGACCAGAGGCCTTTTTCCAGAGCCCTTAGGAAAACCTGAACTGAACGCCTGTCTCTGAGTACTTGGCGGTTCTTTTTTTTTTTTGCTCAGGTCAGTGCTGTTGCATCTTGGGAAAACCATCTCTTTTGAAGCAAGCTGAGAGGAATGAATTCAGGCTTTTTCCCCCCAAACTTTTCACATTTATTATCGATACAAATAAAAAAAATCTTTTTAAAGACTGTTACCTTATTACCAAGATTGAGGTAATATGTTTACAAAACATTTACAGAAATTGATATGAAGTTCATGAACACAGAGAAGGAGGGGCAAAGTTGTTAAATTAAGTTTAGAGAAAGAAGGACCAGCAGAATTATCGTTTCTGGCAGGAAGGAGAAACTGAGTTAGAACCATGGTAAGATCACACACTAAAGAGAAGAGCAGGCAGTTGGCATTGGGTCACAGTTGCCATGGTACTCTGCTAAAAACAAGTCTTGCGTTTTGTGGTGTGCGGACCCCCTCAAGTGTTTGTGCTTTGAGCTCTGAAGGATGCGTTAGACTTCTAGAGAGAAGACTCCCAAGGGAAACTACTGAGCAAAACTAGAGAGATCTTCAGACAGGAAAAGTGGCTGCAACTTAAATATAAAAAAAAGTTCTACAAAAGCCAGACATCTCTGGGGTGGTGTGGACTGTTGGGTGAAGTGGTTTCTTTACAGCTGTCAGCAAAATCGCCATCTGAGAGAGAGAGAGAGAGAAAGAGGGGACCATCTTTCATGACAGAACCCTGGCAAGTGGAAAAGTGCTTTCTCAGCAGGGTACCAGGAACAGTAACAGTGAGAGGGCAGGGCGTGGCACTGGGTTTCTCTGAGTTGGCACCCTGTCCACCTCTGCAGACCAATAATTAAAGCTACTGCTGGAGATGGGTATCATGCTGGGGGTGTACTAGTTAAGCAGCTATTACAGGCAGGAGCAGGAGAGGCATGTATGGGTGAGTGGAAGCAATTACATTATACTGGCCTAACACTTTTAGCAGACAACAGCCTAATTCTAGCAACAACCAGCTTTTCTCTCCTTTAAACTAGCACAAGCCTTTAACATCTTCTTGAGAAATTCACCAGCTGCATTCCTCATTCCTCTCTTCTCAGAATGGAACCACTGGGCTGGACAAGCTATGCAGGCAAACACTCTTCTTTGGACAAGCCCCGGATTATGTAAAGGAGAGGGCCTTTGATGCTAGATCTCTCCAAGATGGGATGAGCAGAAGAGGATGCTGCTTCAGTAGCTGTGGTCCATCCCGGGGACTAACGCACAGTCCTTGCAATGTTCTGTACAGCCTGATGCATCACTGCTACCCTGCTCTGACAGGCTGAATGGCTTGAGCGTTGAGCTTTCCAAAATACACAGTGAGTGTCAAGCTGGAGTCTCCCACCGTATCAGTGACATGACTGCTGGAGCTTCAAGAGCATTTAGCAGAGCAACTAAGGCTTCCATTCTATGAAGATGCATTGGGGGAGGGGGGTGGCCTGAGTTGCAGTCTTGCCCCAGTGGACTGTGCTTTGCAAAAACGCTAAGTGCCTTTCAGTACTGCAGTGACATACGAGATTTCTCTGCATTCATGGGTTACATGCAGGGAGCAGGGTCTGAAGAAGAGCAGGAAAGAGAACTGCTGCAGTCACACCTTCCTCTAAGTCAGCTCTTGGCAGGAAGGACACTAACATTCAATGGGTGCAAAGATACAAGGGAGGAGGGGCCAAGTGCACCTCCAGAAGGAAGAAATGAACCTGAGGGTTTAACGTAGGGCCAGCCACTGGGCTGCGTCGAGGAGAGCCTGCTCTTTCCTCTTCTGTTCCATCTCCAGTGCTCGGAAGTGTAAATTCTGGCTTAAAGCCTGTTGAATGCCAAGAGCTGGAGTGTGTATGCCCTTGACAGCGTGAATACAGGAGATGCACTGGCATCAAAATGGCTGCTTGAGAGTGCCGGCAGTTCTGCCTCCTTTGTCAAAGCGAGCACCACCCGTGGCATATCTGGAGAGCAGGGGAGCGGTTCAGCCAGTCGCCAGCTGGCATTTCACGGAACGTCCAGCATCCAGCCACTGCTCTCCTCCAGGCCTTAAGGGTGGGCAGTGCCTGCAGCAGCAGGAAGGAAAACATGTTTTTGAACTTTGCACAACCTCCCAGGCAAAAGCTTTAGGTTAGATTTCTAATGTTTTGGTAGGGTGTCGTTTTTAAAATAAATTTCCAACCACCAGCACATTATTTCTCTCTGCAAAACAGCCCTTGCATTTCTAAGTTAGGATTTGTGCAAGCATGTTTATAAAAACCAACAAACGAAGGAACTATGGCTACTGAGTTAAGGTTACACACACACTGTTTCAGTTCTAATGGAAAACAAAACCAGCATATTTAAATGCACACAGCTACTTTACTATCTATAAAAAGGCCTTCCATGTGTGTGGGTGGTGGATTGTGTGTGTAGGTGTTTTGTTTCTTTTTTGCAATTGTCGCTGATGACTGTGCTGTATTGCAGTTGGCTGCCACAGATGAAGGTCCGGCCATCTCATCAGTTGGCTTTTTTCCTGGCAGTGGAACTACCTGGAAATCATGGAGCTGGAGTGAGACTGCCCAGATGAGGTTGTAGCTGCGCTGAGCTGAGAAAACCCACTGTGACTTGATTCAAGGCTGCTCATGGATCCCCTGCACAGAGAGAAACAGACATATTTTAGGGATAAAACCCTTTAGCATGTGGAGCTGCACAGAAGAGCTGTTCATCTAGCTTCTTCGCCAGGGACCTCCAAACAGGGCTGCCAGTGGCCTGTTCAAAGCCCTGTCCTCGGAAGCTTTGCCCCAGTTATGGTTTATATAGTTCATTAAAGGAAGGAACCAGATGAATTAGATGATGATGAGTTTAAACATTTATAAATCACCATTTAGAGTTTTAAAAAACCTCCCAAAGAAGCTTCTTGCCATATGCCACAAAGTATGAGCACCACAGAAAACATCCCAGTCTTTAGAATCTTTTAAAAAGCCTGCAGGGACAGGGCCTGATGTATTCCCATAAGAAGGAGTTCTTCTTCATTCCAACCCATGATTCAGCAGATAAATTAAGATACTTAAACCAAAGGAAAGACAAATTTCTAAATCAGTCTTTAATAGCTAAATGAAAGATTTTCTCAATGTTGATGCCATGCAGTGCCCTTGTTTTGAGGAACACGATCTTTTAAAGACATGATTATCTAACTGACTGTAACCTTGAAGTGGGAAGCCGGCAGCCACACCGTTAAAAATCCTTAAAATTGTTTGCCAATCAACAGGGCTTCAGCATTATTAACCAGGACCAAGGACCTTTTCACATGGGCTGAACACCCAGGTGCAGGTGTTCAAGGAGGTATTTAGTAGGAACTCTGTATTGGAGAACATAAGCCTTTATAGAATACATTTGCGGCTTTTGTAAAAAAACATTTTAGCACTACACAGCCATGGCCCAGCAATCTAACTGGGGCTGACTGGGATTTCCTGAAACCATGGAGTGGAATTTTGGAGGCCTCCACATGTCTTCCACGAGTATGCTCTTCTGCCCTTATCACTGACTTATAAGTCCAATTCCAATGTGTTTTGCTCCTGCTGTTTCCTCAAATTATCTCTAATCATCATTTATTCCAAATACATCTATTTATTCTTTCATGCGTTGAGGACATATGATGACATGTTCCTACAATGGTCAACATTTTTAGTGGGAGACAAAAAGTTCTGACTACTTCATGGAATATGTCTTATATGCTACTTTTAAAAAGGTAATGCAAAGTCAAGGCTCTGGAACACAGGATCACTGCGAAATATTGATAAGCTGTGAAAGGGATGGGGAATCCAGCAAGGGGAATGAAAACAGCTTTCTTACAGCAGAGCTGGTGGAAAGCAATAATACAAACTGCTTTCAAGCAGAGGCACTGCCTGAAGCTCAAAAGGTACAAGACTGTGATATATGCAGAGGTATCAGTCTCTGAGCACTGTCAGAATCCTGAAGAGAAAGAAGTTCCGAAAATGGCAGAAATGTAAGAATTCTACCCATGAAGTGTTATGCAGAAGTTCACGACAGTTTTGCTTTTCAGCAAACCTGACTGTTAGAAATGTTTTTATTTTGTTTTAGGGGGCTTTGCCTTCATTGGAATTTGGGGGGGGGGGTGCTCACAGTACCTGAAGTCTTCTGAGCCAATTACTTCTGTGTAGTACATCACTTTGCACTTATGAGATGAAACCTGTAGAGACGCCAGGACATCATCCACACGAGGCATGCTGGTCGTAGCGCAGGCAGGCATACTGTGGAACTTCCACTGGAGAATGTAGAAACCTGGCCATCGAGTCACATGGGACCCCTGGAAGAAAGAGCCGAGAAGATGGTAGTGGGCTTGCCCGAGGCCTGGTGGGAGAGGCCGCCAGCACTAATCCACTCAGAATGCCCCAAGTGGCAAATGCATCACCAGAATCCAGCCTTGTCATTGCGGGGCTGCCATGATGATCCTTCCCTCATGTGGTTGGGTCTTCTTCTCAGGCACAAGCCTAGTTATGCCATAAGTGCAGAGGAAGCAAAGTGACTGACTTGTTTTCTTTGGTCTGGCCTGTTCATCTGAACCCTGTGGCCTTTGACTGCTCGTCCAAGTTGTGGCAAACTAATCTGGGTAACGGGTTAAAGAGCAAGATACTGTAACTGGGGGAAGCTGCTTCAAGCCTAATCCAGATGTCAGATCTCCATGGATTGCTCATCTGGGGCACAGGGAAGACTATTGATGAGCTGTAATTTCTTGTTTGCCAGTACCCCTCATTTAACAGGTATAGCCGAGACTACAAGGATGGCAATGAAGATTCAAGCAGGAAAAGGGTGCAAATTGTAGGGCAGGGCAGGACCAGAAGACTGTTGGCACCTTCTTCTCATGAACCGCCAAGGCACAGATGGACTGAATGCCTCCCCACCCTCACAGGCAGAGGCCTCACAGACAGTTTGTTATTTTCTGGATATGGTTTTGAGGAGAGGTTGATGGTGCCCTGTTGCATTCTTCTCTTTCTGTCAGAGTGGGATTTGTGTTGCAGCATAGAGACCCTTGCATGTATGCAAATACATACAACAATCACTACACATTTACCTGGGAAGCAGATAGTAAGCAGTGAGTTAAAGTCAAGGCAGAAGATGCAGGGCGGGGGCTCAACAAATCTGAGAAAGACTGTCTGAAAAACCTCCAATAAGAAACACAGAGGTAGCACTACAAGGGCCAATGTAGCCCAGTATTCCATTCACACAACCAGGACATGCGGGCAACGGCCTCCAACCCGAGTTCCCAAGCAACTGGTGAGGACAGGCACACTGCTCCGATACTGGGAATGGCCTAGAGCCTCCTCCTCCATCCATTTGTCTAATCTTTTCATCCAGGAAGAGGACTAAGATGACATACTTTAGACCATGATGTTCAAGAGACAAGGCATTTGTCCCTGAAGGTCATACCCCGTGACTTTTGATCACACCTTATAAATTCTAGCTAGTTACTCTTCTCTGTGACATGCAGACAAAGGCTGTTAAATTGATGTACCTGCTTCCATTTTTATCTCAGAACTGAGATCCAACCTCTCCATGAAGAGCTGCTGCTTTCCTGCTTTTCTACTACAGAACCTTTAGGTAGCACCATGCTATATGGAGTACTGCAGTTTCACTGGTAGGAAAATACTTTTCCTTTTCCCTTTGGAAATAATACATTTCCCCTGCTCTAAAACACCCACACACTCACACAGGAAAGTACCCATAAAAACAGAAACTGGCCAGTGTTTAGTAAGGAACCACAAGTGCACTTTAAGTGCTGTGTGCCAAAATTCAGAGCCCGCGTGAGAATGCTTCTGCCTAGCATGAGCGACTAAAAGACTTGAACTGTCTGGAAAGGCCCTAATGACATTTTGTCAGCTAATGAATGTTCAAGCCTTGCGCTCACCTGCACACTTTCTCCTTCCTTACAGATAAGCTGAGACTCCACCATGCTGTAGTCTCGCCCCAGCTGCCAGGCCTTGTCTATCAGCTGTACATTATTGCCACCAGGCGAGGTAATGCTGTGAGCCCCCAGGGAGTCTTTTTTAGGAGGCTGCGGTGCTCTCTTGGAGTGATAGATGTTAAAAACAATGTCACCTTTGCAAACATCAAAGTCCCAGGTGATCACAGAGGAAGCTTCCACAATCTGAATGAAAATCTGGAGAGAAGGGGAAGAGAACATGTTAAAAGCTCAGTGAAGATGGTAGGTATTTGATGAGAAGCACCACCCTGGCATGGCTGCCCAGTCTCTGACCTTACTTTATTTATTAGATGTATATCTCACCTTTTTTCCTCTCAAGGAACTGAAAGTACTTCTCCCCCTCCTGCTTGCAATCTTTTCCTTGTAAGAACAACTCTGTGAGGTAGCTTGGTTTGAATGTCTGTGACTGGTCCAAAGTCACCCAGTTGACTCCATGGCCAAGCAGGGACTGGAACCCAGAGTGCCTGAGTCTCAGTCCTGCACTCTTTTAATTGTCACACCACACTGGCTCTCAGTGTGGGTGGGCATGATACATCCTTCGACTACTAATCCACTATGTCTGTATTTGCCACAAGTGATTTGGCGAACAGATAAAACAGCTTTTTTTAAATGTGCCCACATCCAACTGCAAAACATTCATGAATTACATTTTTAAAGTTACATTGTCATTACACAATCTGAGTTGTCATTTTCAGTGTTTTTAAAGCCTTTCAGTAGAGAATAAAATCCGGTGCCTTGAAATCCAGAACCATATACTGAGGAATGGTGAAGGTGCGTACACCATCTGTCACCAGCAGCCTGCCATTCTCCTTTAGGAAAAAGTACGGTAGGACACTAGTCCCTGAATAAACATTGCTAGATGAAACACTGGTGGGCTGCATATACATTTTTATATGCTTATTACTGCATCTTTAAGAAGGGTAAAAAGTATGCGACATTTAAGGACTGAAGAACTCTTATCTCAAAACTATACAAACTGTACCACGTGAGAAAAAGGATGCAGCCATCCCTCTTGTTTCCTATGAAAAAAAGATGTAGGTTTTTGTTGTGTTGTTTTAGGGGGAAAAGGCAAGGGTCAGCTTCCCAGCATGACCAGAATCACTGGCTGAGGAGTTTAGACAAGCATTGTCCGAGAGCTGCTTAGCAGGACTCAAAAAACCAGGGGCCGCGGCTTGCGGAGGGCTGTAGGCTCCCTTACGTGTTGTGAAAGGCGCCCTGGGTACTGCAGCTGAGGCATGATTTGAGCAGAACCAGGAAGAGGAAGGCAAGGGTTGGGATGTGCAGACCTTATTGAGGACCCGCTTTACCCTCTTCCTCATAATTAGAGCATTTTTTACCAACACAACTTCATACCACAAGAAAGGACTTTGGGATAGCTTAGGTGATACTTGAGAAAACCTGCTCCTGTCAGGAAGTGCTCGAGTGAGGTTGACCCGCACATGCCCTGGGATGCGTGTGGTGACCCGAGTAAGGTCTGAGCTTCTCCTCTGTGAATAGAAAGCCCACGAGATGTTTTTTTGGGGAACCATGGAAGAGGAATTGCTGTCTTGCAAAAGTGACCCCGTTCACATGAGCCGAAATTTCATCTGAATCAGGTTCAAGAGAATGAAGTCAGTATGACTCCTGTTCCAAGCCCACCAAGGCTCTGAGATGGTTTCTCAGAGCATGTCAGATAATGCAAGGAAAAGAACAAGGGAATGCACCTCATGGGGAGCTCCTTTGAAGACACTTGCAGATTGATAGATGGTTTCTGTCCACAATTTTATGTCTTCATTTTCCAGTTCTTCTGCTGTCCGATAGAGTGATTTGGGGACCAGCCCACCCTCTGGAACTTCACACTTCAGAGATATGATGAGGCAAGGAAAGCAGCATTAGAGCTCTGCTCAGAATGAAAACAACCCAGAAAGAATACACGGACACGCCACTCTGAAGTACATTTGAGCTGGCTTACTGAAGAACATTACCATTTGCCACAGCCCTCCCTAACCTGGTGCCCCCCCCCCGCAATGTGTCTGACTACAACTCGCTTCCTCCCACAGCCAGCATGACCAACGACACACTATGGCACACACAACTTTGTGTGTTTTTATTCAGGGAAATTCTGACACCAAACCTGAAAGCTATGCTAGATCTTCTGATCAGTTCTCTTAAGTTACTCGTTCCTATCATCCATCAAAAAGAAAAGCCCACACAGCATTTTAAGCCACTGGCAGATGTGCTACCAAGATAGCCAAGTATCTGCAGGGAATCCCAGAGATCTGGAAGCAAGATGGATGCTCAGACTTCGGATTTACCTAGTGCTTTTATAGAGTTTTGAAAGTGCTTCATGTGGATTCTCTCAGCAATCTTTTAGAACCACTAAGGGAAGTTGGTAATGTGCCCACACTGAACATGAGATGGGTGTGCTTAAGATGGTTGCTTGCTCAAGGTTACCCGCTGAAGTCAGACTAGACTTCAGTAGACTTCCCCGCCCGCATCTAGCAATTTCCAGGAATCAGCCATCTTGGATTTGCTATTTAGAACTGCACTGTGCTCTGAGGCCTGTTACCCGATTATAAAAACAGCCTGCCTTGTCATTGGGCTTCTCTACATGAGGCATTCATTGTGCTCTAACAATTCCTCCCTCACAGAAGTGTGTGGGACCTTTTCATGCTGTCGTCATCCTCCAGCGTTTCTCCCATGTTTCCAGCCGTTTGAGCTGGCTGTGGTTTCTTTTTGTTGTTTTAGCAGAAAGAAATATGGTATTCAATTTTAAACTGCAACCAACTGGAACCAAAGCTTCATGAGAAGTCTCTTATCTCCTGCACTGCAGTTGTACCACAGTGCCACAGTTAATAGAATTTAACCAAATGCGTGTTTTGTGTAAGAAACAGAAATACAGACTCCTGGGGTGGGGAGGGGGAACCTTGTAAAGGGCATATGTTTCCTCTCAATGGAAGAAGCAGCCTCAGGGAAACAATGGGCTGAACTTTCCACCTTTGTTGTAATTCAAACAGTTCTGCTACATTCTCCTGTTTACCTACCATGCATTCTCCACCAAGAAAATCTGGAATAATTTCTTTGTCAATATAATCCAACAGCCCACCAGGACCCTGATAGTCATTGCCAGCATAAATCAGAAATTTCTTCCGAGTGTTGTCATCAATGAATGGACTGACCTGTCAATAAAGTGCAATGTGAGTGAAGTCCTCAAGCCAACAAATGGCTTCAAGAACGTATCTGATTTCCACAGCACAGGTCTTTGGGGTGGGGGACAATAAACCTACCAGCGTCCAAAGGACTGGAAACACCCTAGGAGCTCGCAAAATCAGGAGACGCCCCAATGTTTCTGGGTAATTGGCTTCAACCACCTCAATTATTCTTAGCAAGGCCTTGACACCAGGTCTCCATAAGTGCCGCATATTGAGGCCCTCCAGGTCCACCAAGCAAGTCCAAGAGCTGGTTTAAAAAGAAAAAAGGGAGGGGAGCAACTGGTTTAACATATTGATTAAGCATTTATTTTAAACTTCCCAGCCTTGAAATCAGGAATGCCGAAGAGTTTCATATCACAGCCTCCACAAGGCTCTTTTGCACTAGCCCTCCTTCCTTGCAACAGCGCCTAGTAGGTAACCCTCCCCATCCAACCCCTTACATTCATTAGCAAAACATGGACTATCACCCTTCATTATTTAGCTTTGTTTACTTATCTTAATATTCCTATACTGTCCCATTGAGAGGAATCTTGTGCTAAAGTGGAATTAATCATAGCTGACCTATGAAGGCTATGAGTCTATAGCTCTCGCAGGCCTCTGTAAAGTAATCGTGTTCTTCTCTACCTGGAAACAGTTACTGCTCCTCGTTTCAGGTTCCGTGGTGGCATAAGGTGACTCGCCTCCACCATGCCCTTGCCTTGCAACGTTCTCCGTGGGAGCTGCTGCCTGGCAGTGTAGCAGCTGACAGGCAGTGCTCAAGAAAATTCAGCAAATGGATAGAAATTGCTGTCTGAACTAGCAATTTCTAGTTCGGAAAGGACATCATGTGTCCATTTCTATGTGGAAACCATGATTTTTTTTGTTCCAGACAGACTCTGAATATGGTGGCAACTGAGTGAATATTTGAGAGTGTCTTGAGCGATACCAGCATTCTGAATAATAAGGGGATGTCCCAACCGCAGTGGGATATTACCTCAATCCCATAACTATGCACGGATGAGCCAGTGACTCACGGCTTATCACTCCAAGCAGGCAGCCCAATTAAAAGAAAAAACAAGCCTTTGAAATCCCACCTCAGTTCTACCTGCCTAAGTTTAAAGTAAGGCCACAGAGGCTGTTCTCTGGGGAAAACGGCATGCACAGATCAGCCAGAGGATGATGCTCTACCTCATTTCCATTACCAAATGCCTGATGGAAGGGACCATCACAAGTTTTTTCCCCACAAATAGATTCTGAAACCACTCCATTTTATAAATGCTACATGAAGCTCAACTGAAAACAGGGATATAATTTGAATAATGTTATATACATAGAAAGCACTCTGTGGTTAAGAGTTTTTGGAGAAGGTGAAAGGCAACTCTGGAAGAGAAACTTTTTAATTACTGCTTGACCTGCTCAAGCTGTTGCCCAGATAAAATTATGAAGGTCAAAAGTAACAGCACAACAAGCAGTGAGTCAAGCTTTCAAGTTCTCCAGATCAAGTCAAATTAGATGTATATGCCTCCAGCAGAACACCTGAGACACTTGTGTGGAGAACACAGAACAATATTGCAATCTTAAATTAAGTGATGCCATTTTCTAATGAACCAACACATATGCATACAGTTTTTCTGAAGGTCAGCACCACCTTTATGGGACCTTACTATCAGAAACTTTGTGTTCTCCCTAGCCTCTCAAAATCCACAAAGTGGATTGGATCATCTTCCAATCTCCACTGGACATCCACTGAGCTAGCACCCATGCGAAGCAACAGAAAGCAGGCTGTGGAGGTGAATGCTTCTGGACTTACCTTGACCAATATTTAGCTAGTATAGTTTAGTTTTTCTTCCATCAGATATATATGTGCTTCCCAGGCAGCTTCAATTCACATACTGAAGAAAACCCAGACCAGCCTGGCTTCCAGCTTGCAATGTTTGCCTTCTGACCGTGCCTGCAACCACTATCCACCCCTCAAGTCCTGCTAAGCACTTTATTCTGAACTGCTTACACCTCTTTTCCAGGGGTACTGGACCATCAATCATTTCTCTTCCAGAATTTTGTTTTCTAGTGACTTGTGCACAATGGGTGAGCTGCCAGAACCTTACGGACCAGGAGCCTGTGGTCACTATATAACAAGTATGACGGGTAGGCCCTGCTCATATAGAAGTGTTATGGTTATGTCCTCTTAATTAACCTAGGAATCATAAACCTAGGATACTGGACAACAAAACCATTCAGATTATCCCTGGACTTGAATGGAACAAACTGAATGGACAAATGTTGACTTCACCTTATGGGTCTTCCAAACACCTTTGTATTTTCTTCACACCTTCTCAGTCCTTCTTCATTTATAGAGAGAACCTGCAGACACAGGACAGAGAGTAAAAAAAAGATGAATCTGCAGAGATGCGGTTGCAGGGGGCCACTGAAGAAATTTGAGCAATAGAGGTGCTTTAATTGGGTGTTTTTCAGTAATACCTTTATTTGAAAAGACAATAATTTCATGTTCATATTTTGCCAATTCACTGGTTTTGAAGAGTTTAGATATATATGTCTTCTCTTAACTAAGGATCATAAGCTTAGGCAGCAACCTTATACTCTCCAGGAGATACGTGCCACTGACTCTGTCTAGAACTGCAGGAAAATCATCTCTTCTGTTCCGGATTAGTTTGTTGCTTTAAGCTTTCTACTTCTACACTTTAGAAAGGTTAGCAAAAGCTGAGGCAGAACCCAAAAATCACATACGTGAATGGGGGACAAGAGGACCATTTAAGATGCTCTTGATTTTATTTTTGCCCAGTGATCCCTGCTATGTTTGTTTGACGTTTGAGTGTAACAATGCCACAAGAAACTACATGCAAAGATCACTGAGCAGCATTAGCTAAGTTACGACCAGCTTTGGTGAAGTGTGATTGGGGTTCTTTTCTCCACAACATCAAAATGCCTGTGATGCATTACGTCTGCCATATTCATTCCCTCTCATGTACTACAAGATGCCATTCAAGTGCACTGTTTCCCATGGAGAACTCACCCCATTTTCCACAATTGGGTATCACTGAGGACCTGAGGAAAACGTGTCAATTGCTCACTATCTTCTTATGGGCATAAGTGTGTAGACTAGAACTATTTTGAAAGAAGATATGTTCAGTAGCTTAAGAACACTGGAAACTACAGAGGCTAGCATAAAATGCTGCTTGAAAGCAGCAACAGCTGGCCCAGTAGAGGACTGCAGAAAACTGCCAAGCCTGATGGGTTCTGTCACCCGTCTATGGTTCAGTTTGCTTTCCACATAATGTCAAATGATATGTAATGAGGCAGTACAGTAGACTGCATCCCCAGAGATCACACTGCTGAGTACTTCCTTAAAATCAAAACTCCATGTAAATAAAAAAGTAACAAGGCAGTAAGAGGATGATTTAAGCTGTTCTCATTCATATGCATTTTCATTTTGCTTCTTTTTTTTTTTTGCAGATTTGTAGAAGTGTTGTTGTTTTACAACATGAGGAACATTTTAAAAGGCACATCCTCATCTGTACTCAGAAGGGCTGCAGGCCACCTCTGGATTAATACATCATATTCCCACATGAGGATGATGAGGATAATGACGATGATGACTACCACCACATTGCCTTAAATTCTATTTGCAGTGAACCTGATGGGGCTTACAAGGTTCTCACAATTCTCACAATTTACGCTCACAACAACCCTGAGTGACAGGTTAGGCTGAGGCTGAGTGAATGGCACAAAGTCGCCCAGTGAACCTCCTGGCTGAGATGACTAGAACATGGATCTCCTGAGCCCCAGGCCTTTGGCAGAAACAAAAAGCAAACAAGTTTTGTTCACAGTATACACCCACTGCTGGAGTGTGCCCGATTCTAGCACAATAAAATGGGAGCGCTGCACCCACGACCAGTCGACTTGCATCTAAGGCACTTACATAGCGAAGCAGGGCTTCTTCCCCAAGAGCTCGCACCAGGCCTTTGGTGTCCATCTGGCCAAGTCGCAGCACGTACAGTGGGCGCCCGTCTGGACAAGGGAGCACAGACAACTGGGTTTAGCAATTTTCTTGTCCTCGCACACACACAGGATTCATTAGGAAGCCCTTAGTCTGTTACATGGGCTACCGGAATGGTTATCCCTTGCTTATTTTTTACATTTCTTCACCACCCATCAATCGACTCACAGGCTCCCTGGGCAGTTCACAAAATGTAACCTGAGTTTCTATAAAAGCTACCACCATGTCTTCTGGGCAGCAAAAGAAACCTGAACTTCGGCACGCAAATGATGAGCAGAAACACCCCCCCCACACACCCCCAGCTCCCAGAAACTTCTTTTTATCAAGTGTTCTGTGCTGAAGGAAAAGGAGAAAGACACCTCTTCTACCCAAAGTAAGAGCTAATAGATGAGCCTGCATTGGCAGCTTAGCAGAAAGTTAGGAAGATCAGGCTACAGAATTCCAGTAGTACATTTTGTTGAGGTGGCTATGCAGCACTTTTCTAATTATTTCAATGGCAAAGCAACCAGGCCAGAATTAACTTTCCTACTGCCTCACATCATGCAGCTAGATGAGAATCTCAGCTATCCTTTAATGGAAAGCACCTGGCTCCCAGATTTTAAGAAAAACATTAGCAATATCTGTGAATCTGTAGAGGTTTAGCACATACAAAGCATATAAAAGTGACTTGTAGCCCCTTCAAAAGTTTAGATACAGCATTTAAATAAGTGGGGAATTGTTGATATGGTATCACATTCATGTTTCTCTCCATTGTGGGAGCTATTTTTTTTTTAAGTCAAGCTGATGTTGTCAAGATTCCAATATAAATTAATGCCAGCATTTGCCTTTGAAACATAACCTTAAGGGGATCAGTAATTTTAACAGAACAGTATGTTATTTAAAGTATTATTTTTAACAGCAAAGGTCACTGATTCCTTGTCTTACTCTTTTCAACAAATGTGGAATGAGTGAGTGGCCCAGTTCACACAGTTAACAAACCGGGGGTCTTTGGAAAGATGAGTGGAGGCAAGAATCCATGTTGGTTCTCAGCCACCTTCATGGACACTCCATCCCCGGAGATACTCGTGACATCTGAACCCAGAACTCTGGGTTGCTGAGGTGGAGATGATCTAGAATTGGATGCCACACACAGCCAAAGTACCGAGTTCCTTTGATGTCACTGCGTCATGCCAAGTAGGAGGAGCTTTGTTTAGCCCAGCATGGCACAGCTTTGGCTAAGAAGACCTTGGTGAACATCTCCCACCCACAAGTTGTTCATGAAAGTAGAGTGGTGCTTACATTTGCCTAATGCCTTTTGATTCCTTACTCCCCTCTTTTCCTTCTTTTCCACTTTTCTTGTATACTTCATTAACCAACCCACCCCCCTTTGTACAGCATTGCGCATCATAACCAATATTAAATATCAAGTCTTGGGCTACCCCAGTGCTCTATATGTCATGCTCAACAGGCCCCTAGTTCTGCTTGTGAAGTAATGCACATTGGGGCGAAAAATCCCAACTTCAAGTATAGGCTGATGGAATCTGAGCTAGCAGTCACAGGTGAAGGAAGGGATCTTGGAGCTGTGGCAGACAAGACAGCTCAATGAAAGTATCAACCCAGGGCACAGCTGCTGTTAAAACGGCAAACTCCATGTTAAGCCTAATTAGGAAAGGAACTGAAAGTAATCTAGTTCTAGTTGCTGATGCTGAAAAAGGACACTAACGAGTTAGAGAAAGTGGAGAGAAGGGCAACAAAAATGGATGATGAGCTTGGAGCAGCTCCTGTATGGGAGTTGCTTTTGGGATTCTTCAGTTTAGAAAGATATGATAGAGGTGTTTTGAATTAAACATGGTATGGAGAAAGGGGAGAGGAGACATTTTTCTCCCTCTCTGATAATACTACAATCAGGGGTCATCCCCTGAAGCTGGATAGGGGATGATTCAAGACAGACAAAAGGAGGCTCTTCACATCGCATATAGTTAAGCTATGGAATTCACTGCTGCAGGAAGTAGAAAAGGCCACCAATTTGGGTGGCTTTATACTAGACACATGCATGGGAAGGAGGCTATCAATGACTACTAGCCATGTCGGCTATGTGCTACTCCATTATCAGAGGGAGGGTGCCTGCATACACCAACTGGGCAGGTGGAATCTTGTGGCCATCTTGCTTGAGCATTCCTGAGGGCAGCTGCTTTGCCACCATGTCAACAGAGTGCTGGACTAGATGGACCTTTGGCCTGATCCAGCATGGCTTTTCTTAAATTTGAATGGGGAGACAGTGTCAAAAAAGGTCATGTGAGCAGCTTTTTTTTATCCCTCTAAGTGCTCCATAACCCTGATGCGGTGCCTACCACTGTATCTAGATTACTTGATACTTTTGGTCTAACAGAGCTTTGCAGCACCCTTGAAAAGCAGATTTAAGCACTCTAAACTGATCGAGTAATTTGGATAAAGAGGTCAGTCTCACCAAAAGGTCAGCTTGCCTTTTGTAAGCTACGCTGACCTCAAGCACTGGAGTAGGAAAAACACCTTCCTGTACAGCAGATGCTCAGGTGCCTCCCATAAACCTGCTACTATACCTTTGTCGTGGTGGTGCCAGCCTCCTGCATAGTAATCCTGCAGTACTTGAGGAGGGTTCCAGGTGTCCAGAATGTAGTCCACTTGGTGCTGTTTGCGCCATGTTAATGACTGGCACATGATCTCTCTGGCCTTATCAATGTTGAAGTCTCTTGCACGCAAGAACCTTAAGATGTGTTCATCCTTCGGGATCTGTAAAGTATGGTCAACGAGGGGTAAAAGTTAAAAACTCCCTGACGCCAAAATATCCAATACAGTACATTTCATTTGCCTTTGGCAAGCTCTGAAGTATCAGTTTTCCACCCTCACAGCAAAAAGACTAGGATTGTCACTTTGAGTAATTATTGAGACTTAAGTTCAGCTTTTCATAAATGTATGCAGAACAAAAATAATCCTCATGATTTTTTAAATTAAAACATACATCCAGTCCGAGGCAAAATGCCTATTCAGTGGCCTAGTACTCATGAGATGATAATCCCATGGTTCATTAAAACCATGTTTCTTGGTTTTTGTTTGTGGCAATACCAATGGTTTTTCTGGCAGATGATCAAATAACCACTTTTCAGGTACTGAGTCCCTGAGTTGTTTTCCTCCTCCCTGCATATTCCAATTGCCTTTGAGGTACTGCAATACTGGCATGTAAAGAAGCTGGAGATTTTTTGCTTCTTGTCTTCATCTAGCTTGATGAAACGACAAACCACAATTCTGGTTCATAAATAACAATAACCCATGGTTTAAACAACTCACTGTTTACAAACTGAAATAAAACTACTGGTTTTCTTTGTGGTTTTTTGTGCTTAACATTAGATGACAACCCATGATTCAATAAACCATGGTTAAGTAAACTGTTGTTTGTTGTTGTGTGTGAATCAAGCCAGTAATTGAAACAATACAAAATAATTTGAATAGTATATAGTTTTTTTCAGAAGTTCCCATGTCTTAAGAAGTACTGTATTAGAAGCAGTACCTCCTCTCTCACAGAGAAGGAGAACAGGCAGTAGAGAAGTAATGAGAAAAAACTTTCCACGTAAGCCTTCACATCACAGTGCCAGAGACTAGAAAAAATAGAGGTGGTGAATATTGAGGTATTCATAAGATACACTCACCTCTACAGATTCCATAAGGTTTGGGTATGAAAAGTTGAAGCAAGTAGAAAAGAACAAGAATAAGGTTCCTTTTCAAAGGGCTTTATGCTTTCGCCTATAAAAAAACTTAAGGCCTGTACTTGTAGCAACAGCAGAAAGCAGGAAGCATTCATTTAAGAGCTGCTTGTGTTCACAAGGTGAAATACTTAAAACATATTTTTCTGCTAAAATAGTTAACAGCAGACATTTTAGATGCTAAAGTAACGTCGTGATTAGAATTAAAATCATTTAAAATACAAATTTTATTTAAGATTTAGTAGTTTTCTAAATTCAGGAAGCCTTTTAAATTTATTGTATTAACTTCATCTGTTCTTGTCATAACCTATGACTTTGAAAGTAAATTTGATCTAGACACTCCATTTTGCTTTCAGGTAGAAACTGTAAATCCTAATACACTGAACATTTCTTTTGTTCTCATCAGTCTTGCAATCTCAGTATGCTGGACTTTATTTTAAAATCCCACCCCCGCCTCAGAACACATATGCATACACCTTTGCAAGTTCTTGTGCAAGACTGAAAAAAAAGTTTGGAAACTGGAGCTTGGCTATCTGTGGCAAATATATATTTGCATGGCTAACTGATTTTCATTAACTTTTAAATGGAAGCAACTTGCAGCAACATTCCCTGAATTATGAACCACCTGTCCAAGCATGCACTGTAGCTTTCAGATGCTTTCAGATACTCTGCACAGTGAGAATGCCATGGTATGGGTTAGTGGGACAACTCCACCTTGGTAAGAAGCCTTGGGGCAGCAGAGTAATCCTTCTTGGGATACGGCAAAAGTGGTTCATTTGTAGAGATTTTACAATCTTTAGCAACTAAAAGGGTCTCTAGGCTACCAAGCCCAAGCTTTGCTTTCTTTAAGCCCCAAAGTATCTGCCCTCTGCACACTGGGAAGTAGATTTAAAGATTAGTTGTTCCTAGTTCCCAGAAAACTAACAGTATCAGGCTGAAATGAGTTACCAAGGCCAACTAAAGCAAAAATGTCCATCCCTTTCATGGACTGCTGACATTCTGCCAGAGCATCTTGTGTACTATACACTTTCCTGATGGACAGGGAGCCAAGCGGACACAGATTCTTACTTTGCCTTTGTGTGTTTCCTGGAGCCACTGGCGAAGTCTGATGAGGCAGCTCTCTTGAAGTGGTGTCAAGTCACCCAGATATCTTTTGATGTAGTCTGCATCTAGTTTGTCTGAAAAGGTATTTACACAAGGCTATTAGAGACAATATAGATAGGCCAATTAGTAAATGGTTTTCTGCGCACACAACTCTAATGGAAACACTAGTTTGTTACTCACAGAGCAAGTTCTGATTTGCTAACCTTTACTGAGTTTGAGAAAAGTTAATCTTGATAACCCTTTCCAGCTGCACTGTTTTCCTCCCAGCAATTTAGTGGAAGGCTTCAGTGTACCTGCATGAACCCAAGCAATACCAGGTGCTTTCTCGTTGCTTCGCACAGTCAATACAATCCCCATATTTACAGATTCTGTTCCAAAGAAGGGCCCTACAGTTTTACCTGTCTGGACAGTTTACTCTGTGCAGCTTAGACAAAAGAGTTTCCATCTCAAAACACTGGAAAGCTCCAGCAAAGATATACAGACTATTTGCCTATATCATTACAAGCCAGCTGAGATTGTAATGCAGATACACAAAAGAGCAGCCTACCAGAACAGGACAGAAAACAACTCACCATCAGGTGTTCCAGCTGTGGGATCTGATGCACTATTGCAAGTGTTAACTTCTTTAGGACTTAGTCCCTCCCTGATGGCAGTCTCAGGTACATTGATTGGAGGGGACAGTGACCGTCTTACATAAGAGGCACAATGTTCAAATTTTTTAGGAGGAGTCCAACGGGGGATAAATGTTATACCTTCTTCTTCAAGCTGCTTCAAGTAGTATTCTATTATTTCTTTGCCCTTTAAAGTAACGCAACACCTTAGTAAGAATAACCTGCCAGCCACAGACTACAAAGCCATACCAGGACAATTTTCATTAAGATAAATCCCAGGTGATTTCAGAATTACTCCCAATCTTCCCAGCATCCAGTAGTGACACCAGTACTTTCAAGGGTATGACCCACCAAGCCAGGGACCTACAGACATAAATGCTCACCTTTTTAATATTGCTGGTGTATTGCTTCATGGCAATCTTTTCTACTGTGCTTTCAAAACCAAAGAAAGATTTAATGTCAAGGCTTGCAGATTGTTCAAAACACGTCCAGTCTTCATTGTCTGGATGCACCTAGAGAGTAAAGAAACAGAGGGGATCATACAGTGTATATAAAAACAAGCCTGATCAAATATAAGCACATTTATTTCTGCAGTACAGTACATGGCGCTGCTCTTTTTTGGAACATCAGTATACAATACAAAACAAATGCTTGTGACCACCAAGATTCTTTGTTGTGGAAACAAGTTTGACAACAGCAATATGATCTAAATGCTTATAACAGGGAGGACAGCTTGTCCCCCACCAGATGGTTTGGACTACAACTCCTATCAGCTCTTGCCAGCACAGTTAGTCATGGGGGATAATGGGAATTATAGGCTGAAATATATGAAGGGCTACAAGTTGCACACCCCTGTTTTAGAAGACAGTGAACTTGGTAAAATTCATATTAAAATGTACAGTTCCCCTAACTGAAAGTAGCTGGCTGTTCCCTGATTTCAGCAATTACACTTGAGATCACATGCAATTTATTGGTAGCAGCCCTTCAATTGTTTTCTGACATCCCCTTGATAAGCACAGAAGTCAGCACTATCCATTCCTGTCAGAAGAGTCTCAACAAAACTGTCTATTGCTTATGTTCATATATAATAATTTTAACAGCCTGACCCTATGCAGAGTTAAGCATGCCTAAATGAAATCAATTTAAAGCTCACCTAACTCTTCATAAAATAAGGCTGCTAGTTGACATCTGCTACATGTTCAATTTTGGAGTGCCGACTTCTGCTAAGGTAATTCAAGATATATTAATTCATTAATCATTATTCATAAATGCATTAATCATAATAGTATGTTTATGACTACCGTAGAGAGTCCCTCACCTGCATCAATGCCTTCCTCCATTTCTATACCCTGAAATTTTGCATCTTTGTTATTGCATCTTTGCCTAAAACTTGTCCTGTTCAAGCACTTTGGGCAGTATCAAACTGGACTATCCTGCCTTTGTTGGTTTCCACCACTTGCACCACAGATCTTTAGTTCTTCTAGCTATGGTCCCAGAAACAACCAAACAGAAGCTTGTTCCAGATTAGGTCAGTCTAGCAGAACTCCTTCCTTGGAGTTCTATTGACCTGCCCTGCTCCAGAAACAAATATTTGCAATTGTTTCACATTATCTTAGAAACCAAAAATACTCCATTGCACCAACAGTGGGTCCTGTGAATGCACAGGCAGACTGAATATTATTATCCAGTTCCTACCCTGCATGTTAGCCTTTCTTTTCTTTGAAGAGAGAATGCTGGAGATGACTGCAAGCTTAACAGACACTGGTACAAAAGCCGGTCATCTCAGCTATGACCTGCTGCCAAAAACTACCAAGAAAGAGCTTAAGCACATGCCAAGGGATGTGCTGATTTGAATCAGAATGAAAATGCAGCATTCAGATTTCTAAACACAGACCAGTCCAAACATATACCATATGTTTTTACTGTACTGTTTGAGCACAGATGGTTAAATATGACAGATTATTTCAGATTCAGTGCTGATGGAATCTCACCAAAATAAGAACGTTCAAGAACATTGCTTGGTACAAATTAGCTCACTAAAAAGGAACAAGAACTGCCATATGCAATAGAATCATTATCTAGGGGGAGTCAGAAACAGGTCTCTACTGAAATGTCAATTTCAACTCACCGTGTAACAGCAGTGTTCGTTAATGACAACTCTGTTTGAGAAAGTTTCATTATAGGCCTCTATGTGTAAAGTGCGTTCTCGTCTGTTCAAGGAGTTCTTTTGAATAAAGTAAACATAATCTACCCCTGCAATCTGTGAGAAGAACAGAGATTAGGTTAAAAAGATGAAGGCTTGAAGATAGGCAAGGCCTTTGCAACAAGGCCCCATATTCCAAGGTGGCTCAACACTGCCCCTAGGACACCTGGTAAGTGGGTCCCAAGCTGGGATGTCTTCTTGGCTTCTTGTTCACAGAGGCACATCCAAAAAGTACTTTTTAAAACTAGGCTACCTGTTTACTTGGCTGTGGGATGTAAGTTTGGAGCCATCAGGAAGCCACTGATTTTCAAATTTGCTGGCCAGACTACTGGAACTCGAATTGCAGGCTACTGCATGACTGCTATGCTGTCCAACCAATTTCTAAAGGACTGTCTTAAACTGTCCTTTAGAAACTTTGTTCACTCCTGGTGAGCTTCCCATACTCCATCTAACTGGAGGTCAGGATGTTTTCTCGGATTACCCTCTGTGTAATGATCTCTGCAACCACTCTGGATTAACTCACTATTTGGAAGAGTGTGTGCATGCGTGCACGAAGACATACATATATGAAAGATGGTTGTCTTCCCTCAATTTGTTCCGCTACTCCAGAAATAAACTTCCTTTTAACTTTTGGACACTTGGCTAATCTGTTTTAAAAAGGAAATCCTCTCTAAACTTCCCCACACAGTTACAGAGCTACCATTTGTGTTTCTAGGTTGTTCAAAAAGATGTTGTTGTGGTTTCCAGGGCTTAGGCCATTTCTCCTCCCCCCTCCCCCCACACACACAACCTCTTTCTTTTTAAGTTTTGTAGAGTTGGACTGAAGGGAGGAATATTTGGCAATAGCACCCAGAAATGTTCCAAAGCAGCTGGACAGACTAGGGTGTGTCAGGAGATTCATCCTGCCTGGCAACAGCCCTTCAGTAATTCTTTCTTCAAGCCTGATAAAGCAAGGTCTGCCAGCAGCAAAAATCTCTCCCCCTCCAGTTCGTAACACCCTCCAGCCAAACCAAATCCAGTTACCTTTTTCAGGAGTCGTGGTGCATCTACATCCAGTTTACAGCGCCTTTCAATCACGTGGATGGCCCTGTCATCACTCTTGAATTCATTCATGGTATCACTGCCTACAAACATGGGAATGAGTGGGCATGTGGGGAACCTTTTCTCATAAGCCTGGAAGAGTAAGAAAGGAAGAACACATTTTGAAGTTCTATCGCCTGACTCTCCAGGTAGCATTTCGTATGCTCAAGCTAATCACAACTGTTCTGTTTACTTCAATACATTGTTTAAACATATTACGTATTAAAAGGTGCTTGTTTGTGTATCACAGATATCTGTCAGTAACGTCATGTGGTATTGGAAGACTTTAAAGGAGTGAAAATTAGTGTCTCTTAGAGAACTATCTAGCATGTTTTCCAAGTACTTCCCCAAAGCCTAGCAAAGACATTCAAAGCTTTTTCTTTACCGGAATAGCTATCCCCAAAAGCAGCAACTCCATTCAGCTAATAACTGCAGTGTACTATTTACCAACCTGCAGTTGCACCAGGAACATAATGCTTTTGTTTGTTCGTTCACAGAGCGATGAAGCCTATTTATTAATAATGATAATAACAACAGCTCATGAATCTTTGGATTTTATTTAATCAAGAAAAATTACATGGAAAATGGACAGACCCCAAGTGACAAGACAGTGAAACTCCTGGAAATTCTCAACTCTAGATTTATAAAAAGTTCTGCATTCCTTATTCTTAGGTTCATTATAATATGCTCAACTAAAATACTGCAGTGCCAATATTTTAATTAACAAAAGTTATTTCTGTTGTTGATGTGGGTTGGTTTGGTTTGTTTTGGTTTTTTGGAGGAAAGAGAATGGTATCTATAGGCTGGAACTAAAAACATATGGCAGAAGCAAACACGAAGCAGGCTGGATTAACATACAGAGGTTCTTTCCCATCCCTATGGTAGTTCTTACTGCCGAAGGAGTCCACCTGATGTAAGAAATGGGGGAAGGGGGAAGAGGGGGATAGAAAAGCTAACAGTCATGAAGCAGATGGCTTAAATGGCTGTCTTGTTGTGACGGCCTGATGTAACTACAGCAGCTGTGCAGAAGCATGCTGCTTGAGTCAGCATGTGTGCTTAGGCTGTGTCTTAGCCTGGCTTTGACTTGAGGTGGTACTTCACAGTCCAGATTCAACCGCTTCAGACTGCGAATGGGAGTTCACACGGTAATGTTCTTCCACACACATGCAGCACAGCATCTACATGTAACCCTAAAAGGCTAAAGAAAAAGGGAAAATGTGCCAAACATGATAGGGCAAGTGACCTGGCAATTCATCTGCGAGGGGTTCATCTACCCATACCAAAATTAAATTCTTGGCCTGTTTACATCAGGACAAGTTCATGCACGTGCTTGCTCATTTAGTGTTGTTTACTTATGTAACATCAGCGCCCTGCTGAGTCAGACCAAAAGTCTGTTTAGTTCAGCACTCAGTTCCCACAGTGGCCAGATGTCCCCGGGCAACCCAGAGGCAGGCCATGTACACAACGGCACCCTCCCACTTGTGTTCCCAGCTACTTGCATTGAGAGGCATACTGATCCTGCATGGGAGGGAATATATATCCACCCTGACTGAGCTATTGGCAGGCTTATCCTCCACAAGCAACGTTTTTCATTAAATCACAGTAATCTCTTGAGCTTCCCAAATATCTGTCAGTGTCTTTATTTTTCCTCAGATTGAATGGGATTGTTCTATACTTTGGTAATGAGTTTGATGCAAATCTGAAAAAGCCCCAAAGTATTTTTAGATTATAAAGACTTCATCCTTTGAAAGATACTTTGGTCAGTTGTATTGATTGACATTATTACTTCAAACTGTGGCCGCTTATATGAAAGAAATATTTGCAAATCAGAACGCATTACTTCATTTGCCTATATAATCAAAATACTGCATTGCTGAGCCAAATATTGATAGGCAAAATAGACTACAAGACCCACCAGGAAAGAGAGAAAACTGTGCACAAATTCTTCATGAACCGTACATTAAACACAAATCATTGCTCTTCTCCTCAAAGGCTCAAGGAAGAAGCAAATTGGAAATTAGTGTATTATTCACTAATTTCCCAGGGTTTACTCTTTATACCATTGCTCAGTTCCACTATGCCACAGCATCACTTAGCAGTTGTGTAATCGAACATTCAGAAAAGCAGAGAACAGAAACTTCCAGAAAAAAAACCTTGTGCATAGAGTTCTGATCTTAATTCCACAAAGAATCTGCAGGTAGAAGCCTCAGTAACATGTTAAGTTAAAAGCCTTCACAGTCTATTGGAACCGATACATGTCCCAAAAGCTTCTATTGAAACTAGAAGCAAAAACATTGAGACACAGCATTCTTCAGCCTAAAAGGCCAATATCCACCCACATATCACCACCTACATAATATTTTAGTTCCCCTGCTGGAATATATGATATTTAAACACTTTCCTCTGGAACACATACTTTTTTTCCTCCTATATCAAAAGCTAGCATTGTTCTCTAAGAAGCATACACAGTATAGTATGGCAATTTGAGCTTGTAAGCTTCATGCATTCAGTTCTAGATTCATAAATGTTTTATTAGATTTAAGGACACTTCCAATGTAATTCCAAATGATGATTTCATGGTGTATGGATCTAACTTAAAAGGCCCTTTTCACACTTCCTTCTCTCCTACCATGTTGTTGCTTCCTCCTTCACATGCCAGTTTACTGTAAACCATGGGTTCTGCTTATGCAGGAGAGAAAAATGGGAACCAATCTGTAGGACACATACAAACCATAATTTGCCATTTTGGATAAATGGCAAACTAGTTACTGCACACCAAAAAGCAGGGGAAAGGTGGAGCTGCATAAAAGGGGAGGAATGTGAGTCCAGGATTCCTCAAAAGTTCATTTGCACAGCATCAGACCATGGTGCACACTGCACCTCTCCAGCCCATGCACTTTCTAGGGAACTATCGACTGGGAACTATGTAGTCTGACTGTCAGAATATGAGGTGACAGTAAACAAAGAAAACGCTCAACTTTTCTACTCTCAAGTTTGACAAGAACATTGTGAACTAACAAGGTGACTCCGAGAGAAGACCTGCTCTGAGACAAATTCTATAGCCAGCGCACTTTCCCTGGTCCATTATCACCGAGGTGCAGCACAATTGAATTAGGTGCTCTTCCATGCATACAACACGTTTATGTTAGTTTCAACATTGTGCACTTCCTCCAACACATCCATCTCTGTCTAAATCACGCACATACACTCTGCACAAGGCTGCTACAAAACAGGGACAGAGGATGTCTGGTCAGTCGGCATCACCTGGCTCACAGCAGCCCAGCCTGGCTCTGGGTAAAAAGCATTGGGTGGACATGCAAAACACGCCCATGCCAACTTTATATGCACTGAATGCAACTTTTAACTGCAGATAAAAAATTATTTATGTTGCCAGTTCATCGGACCTGACAATATCTAGAATCATCTCATTTTCTGGATATTATTGGAGTTTGTTGGACTAGAATTTAAATTGTCATAAATTCATAGAGATGGGCTTTCAGCAATTCACTCTCTGCTACAGTTCCTTATCAATATAGATAGGTCGTAGAATATATACAGTGGAGACATGCAATATAAAGCTATTTGCATACAAAAACCACTAAATAAACCACTTCTAGTGCAATGACATGTCCTCAGGCCTGCCTCAGATACCTTAGTATTTCCTATGATAACAGTGCTGCCTTCAGCTATGAATGTGATTTTTTTTTAACATGAGGTCTAAAGCTCTGAAAATGTACTCATATTCTTGATCTATCACAACATACTTTCTTTAAAAAGAGCAGCTTGTATTTTTTTTTCCTGTACCAAGACACCAAGGAGGCCTTCTAAGCACCCATTTAAGTTGCCTTAAATTTGGCAGAATGAACAGCAAAGCACCAAAAGTAAATGAGCTTGGACTATTCAAGTATGGTTTGAAACACAAATTCTGCTCAACGGGATTATAACAGCATTCATTCCCCAACAGAATTTACTTACATAATGTATTTTGTGTTATCATTTCTGTGTGTAAAAAAAAAGTAATTGTTGCTCTTGCTTGTATCTAACATTGTTGTAGATGATTGTCCTAAAGTAGGTTATTAAGCTTATTCAATTGCTGCCATTCTGGGATCTCCAACCATTGAGTTTTAAAAGCTAGTTATACATATTTCATTCTGAATGCCTTAAATATGGAGGTAGAACTGATTATTACATTTTTATTTAAACTCATCAGAAGCTTATTTGGTTTTACTTGTTTTTTAAGCTGGCTTTGAACCCCTGAAAGTTATTATATAACTCTAACCCAAAAGGAACTAGCTGGGCTATTAAAAGCACAAAATCAAGAACACAAAACCAAATTGGGATTTGTACCAGCTGTTGGTAAAGTGAATATTATAAAAATAATGCACAGTAAGCTAGCAGCATGGACAAAATGCATTCTTTTAACATTCCTCTTGAAAGAACAGTGCATGTAGAATGAGATGTAAGGATTTCTGTACCCAAAACTTATGCAACAAGTTGCAGGACCCCTCCTTCTAGTTCAGTAAGCAGAAGCCTCAGTTTGCATTTTTTTTAACCTGAAAGGTTTTTAAATTATGTGAAAAACACAATCCGAAAATGTGAGGATTTTTGCTACAAGCTTGGAAACAAGCAACTGGGCTAGGGAGCAGTGAGGCCAATCCACACATCCGTCAACTCCTACATTCCAGCTCCCTAGCCATGTTGCCCATTATCTCTCAGCCATCTGCAAATTCAGCATTAGGCTATGCACCTGTGACTGTCCTGAGTACAGCCTCTTAGGCAGCCTAAAAGGGTCTGACATGCATGAAGCTGCTTTGGAAGAAGTCAACGTCTGCCTGAAACCATGACTGATGTGCCAAGTACTCCCATTGTATTGTCCACTGATTATTCCATATTACAGACAGGCAATTTGCTCAATATTAAGGACTAGATCTAGGTTTAGTAGCGGTTGCCTAGTCTACATTATTATTCACTTAACTGTGCTCTTTGGGTAGATAATAGTTATGGCACCAAGTCACAGGTGGTCAGCAGCAGTGTTCTGACCACAGCTGCGGTGAGCAGGCTTTACTGGAGATCAAGAGGCAGGCATTTCCAAG